TAGTTCAGACAGTACTAGGTTAGTTGACCATTGTGTTGTCTTGTTTACTTAGAAAGTGGCATTTAGAAATTGAGGACGCAAAAAGCAATTGAGACGTCAAAAAATGAATCATTACAAATTTAAAGGTGTATTTCTCTATTGACTCTGTAGTATTACAGATTTTGAGCTTCAATAGATGGTTGCATGTCTTGAGACATGTTGATAATAATACCTGGTTTTTGTGGATAATATAATCCCCTGGTTCCTAATAGGCAGCCCGTGGGCCAAATTGGCCCGCAAGGCAATTTAATTTGGCCTGTGACGAAAAACAAAAAATTATAATAACGCCTATATAAAACACATTGGAAGTTCAATTAGTACATTTTCAATAAAGTAAAGACAAAAATGCAACTTCTTGTTAATGTGCATGGAGATTATATTTGGCCCGTGAGATTAACTCTAAAAATAATCTCGCCCTTCAGACCTATTAATTAAGAAGAAGTGGTTGGCGCATCAATTGTGGCTTGAGGTCATGGGTTCGAAACTTTCGCTGTGCAAGTCGCTTGTGTCCTTTAGCAATCTATATTTGTCTCTCTCAGTAGTATAAGTGCGTACATGGTATGGGTATTGTGGCATTGAATGTTGTAGTTTCGTGCGCTAAAGAAATACCGGTATCGAACGACTAGGAATACTTCCCAGGGAGCAGAGAAGGTTGCATTTTGTGCTGGTTTGCCATTGTACGTTATCTGTGTGACCGCGCCTTTGATCATTCAATTTGGAATTGGCGCCTTATAAATTTTTGAGTATTAAGAACCAGTACGGTATATAATACCTCGCAACACATATGCCTATAGGCTATATAGGCATTATTCTCTGAAAAATTTGTTTTCTTTTCTGTGCTATGAGCTGCAGGGTGAAATAGATCCTAAGCTAAAATTCGTACAGTAATTGTCCTAAAATTGCAAGTCATATGTATTAACACTACATCGATTTTGTTACTGCGAGTTGGTGTTAAAAAGGTTATTGTGAAATTCTGTCCCTGTGTCTTATTTGGTTTACTGTGTTTCTCCAATAGCCTTGTACTTAATTTTACATTGCTATTGAAAAATCGGTGTAGGCCTACCAAAGAACACGGTCATAACAATATAAAATACATAGAAGCGTACTGGGAACATGCGGAAATAGTTAGAAACAATACGGTAGGTAATATGACTTGTACTTTAAAAAAAGAACAATCATAATAAAATGTGTCTAAACTAGCCATATGCTTCTTGTTATTATACGTTTTATGCATGCACCGACGTGGAATTTTTTTTATGTTGTTTGTTGAATGATCTTCTTTAAAATATTACAGTCTAATATGACCACAACATAAGGAAGTTTATTCTTTAAATGTTTAATAGATAGTACAGAGAGTTATGATTGTTTATCAAAATCATTATAGAAATGTTAAATCCATTTTTTTTAATGAATAATAAAATACGTTTTCAGTTCACGCGCCGACGTGGAAGGATTAACCTAATAATCTTGTTAATAGTGCGGTTCTAACATTAACCTTTTGACCACAACTTTTAAGTTGTAACGTAACTTCAGGAAATTAATAATGCATTTTTATTGTTCCGCCACTAGCCGCCACTATACTTATGTGTATACACAAAACATTGAAGTTCTCTCTCCAATTAAAGACTCGGCCCTCAAATAAAAAGAAAAACTTTCTGGCCTCGGATGAACATCAGTCGTTTAATTTTCAAATTAAGACCAAAGCTGCTAAAGACCATGACAATCTTGGTCCCTAAAGTGGCCTTAATTGGATGGAGACCTGTATTTAATAATTTTTGCCGTAAAAATTGGTTAATTGATTGATTGGTTGATTGATAAGTATTTTAAACGTTTATATTGACAGGCGCGAACTGTGCCCCAGACGAAATCTGGTGTGAACGTACACAAACGTGTATTTATTATCGAAGCACATGTTATAAAGACATATGGACAACACCGAGTAAGTTTAACAATGTACTATATAATCATCACCACAAAACTATCTAACTTTTAAGTTGTAACGTAACTTCAGGAAAATAATAATGCATTTTTATTGTTCCGCAACTAGCCGCCACTATACTTATGTGTATACACAAAACATTGAAGTTCTCTCTCCAATTAAAGACTCGGCCCTCAAATAAAAAGAAAAACTCTCTGGCCTCGGATGAACATCAGTCGTTTAATTTTCTAATTAAGACCAAAGCTGCTAAAGACCATGACAATCTTGGTCCCTAAAGTGGCCTTAATTGGATGAAGACCTGTATTTAATAATTTTTGCCGTAAAAATTGGTTAATTGATTGATTGGTGGATTGATAAGTATTTTAAACGTTTATATTGACAGGCGCGAACTGTGCCCCAGACGAAATCTGGTGTGAACGTACACAAACGTGTATTTATTATCGAAGCACATGTTATAAAGACATATGGACAACACCGAGTAAGTTTAACAATGTATTATATCTGTCTCTTATACACATCTAGATGTGTATAAGAGACAGAAATTGTATGGTGTTACTGCTATTTTGGCACTCTAGTTATAGCATAAAACATAGGCCTACTGTTTTATTCTGTTTCTATGTTTTATAATTTAGCTTTTTAAAATAACATATTTTGTTAATCAATTCAATTTATATTTAAATCTTATTAATTTGATCATTTTTTATACATATATTTAATGAATATATAATTGTATAGAAAAAGTAACTATCAATTTATACTTATTTTTTCTTAAATAAATTAGTCCTTGTATTCATTTTTCTTATTTATTTTCTTATTTGTTTCTATTTATCAAAATGAATTTATTATATTTACATTTATCTAATTATTTATCTATATTTGTCCTGTCTCTTATACACATCTAGATGTGTATAAGAGACAGGATTTATTTTCCTTGCATAATGTAATACTTTTGTACATTGGAATCTATTGTTTTAGAATTACTTTTCCCTAATTTTCGTGCCCATTCGTTTACCCGGTATTATGAAAATAACGTAACTTGCTAACATTTCTAATTTCATGTCTTGTAGCAAATGAGGAATGCCAAGGTAGAGAGTTTCTTTGTGAAGATTCGTACAAGTGTATACCTATGGATTTTGTTTGCGACAACTATGTGGACTGTGACGATGAATCAGACGAAAACAATTGCCGTAAGTATTCTCTTTTTTCATTCATTGATTGGTTGTACAAATATTTAGATCTAACAATTGAAATAGTTCCACAAGAAACCGAACATCAACCGTTAGACGTTCAACTCACCCAGTAGCGGCACTACGAAGGAGGGGAAGGTTAAATTTCTCCAAAAAAAATTCTTCTCTCCCACTTCCTCCGCAATTATATCAATCGTCATTTCAAGCCCACTGGCCACTCAAAAACAATGCATTTAACACATTTTTACATTAACTTTCTCCTCACTTACCTCACCCCTTCCCCAGATTTCAGGCGCTGGCGTCGCCACTGAACTCACCAGTTCACGCATAGGTAACACATTAGATTCATCGTACCACTGTTATAAAAGAACCCAATTAGACCAAGAGGGAAAAGTTGATACCGTAATAATGCAAGTGATAATCTGGTAAACGTAGGGGTTAATATAATATAATATAATATAAGGGCCAATATTTCATATTGTTGCTAGGTCACGTCTGGTACAAGTACCCCAGTGTACCTCATCTGTTTACCCCTGTTTGCGACCCATGGTGGCAGAAGTTCGCCCTATGCTACTCCCATTGGGTACCATAGTGTACGGTCTCAATAGTTCAGACAGTACTAGGTTAATTGACTATTGTGTTGTCTTATTTACTTAGAGAGTGGCATTTAGAAATTGAGGACGCAAAAAGCAATTGAGACGTCAAAAAGTGAATCATTACAAATTTAAAGGTGTATTTCTCTATTGACTCTGTAGTATTACAGATTTTGAGCTTCAATAGATGGTTGCATGTCTTGAGACATGTTGATAATAATACCTGGTTTTTGTGGATAATATAATCCCCTGATTCTTAATAGGCGGCCCGTGGGCCAAATTGGCCCGCAAGGCAATTTAATTTGGCCTGCGACGAAAAACAAAAAATTATAATAACGCCTATATAAAACACATTGGAAGTTCGATTAGTACATTTTCAATAAAGTAAAGACAAAAATGCAACTTCTTGCTAATGTGCATGGAGATTATATTTGGCCCGAGAGATTAACTTAACTTTTCTGTGCTATGAGCTGCAGGGTGAAATAGATCCTAAGCTAAAATTCGTAATTGTCCTAAAATTGCAAGTCATATGTATTAACATTACATCGATTTTGTTATTGCGAGTTGGTGTTAAAAAGGTTATTTGGTTTACTGTGTTTCTCCAATAGCCTTGTACTTAATTTTACATTGCTATTGAAAAATCGGTGTAGGCCTACCAAAGAACACAGTCATAACAATACAAAATACATAGAAGCGTACTGGGAACATGCGGAAATAGTTAGAAACAATAGGTAATATGACTTGTACTTTAAAAAAGAACAATCATAACAAAATGTGTCTAAACTAGCCATATGCTTCTTGTAGGGGGTGCCTATAAAACGAAGACCTCCAATTATTTCTCAATTATAAGGAAGTCGCTCTATATCCAAATTTCAGGAAATTATACGTTTTATGCATGCACCGACGTGGAAATTTTTTTTTATGTTGTTTGTTGAATGATCTTTAAAAATATTACAGTCTAATATGACCACAACATAAGGAAGTGTATTCTTTAAATGTTTAATAGATAGTACAGAGAGTTATGATTGTTTATCAAAATCATTATACACATGTTAAATCCATTTTTTTTTAATGAATAAAAAAATACGTTTTCAGTGCACGACGTGAAAGGATTAACCTAATAATCTTGTTAATAGTGCGGTTCTAACATTAACCTTTTGACCACAACTTTTAAGTTGTAACTTCAGGAAAATAATAATTCATTTTTATTGTTCCGCCACTGGCACACTATATTATTCTATTCTATGCCAAGACTTACGGTATTCAAATATGCACTAGCTTGTATCACCATAATCATTGTATTTGGATATGTGGTTTCATTGATTAAGTACAAATATGAAGAACATACAGATTGGCGTACACAGTACTTTCTTGAAATGTAGGCCTACAAAAAATAATATGTCATAAACCAATGTTATTATAGCATAAACAATACTTATGTGTATACACAAAACATTGAAGTTCTCTCTCCAATTAAAGACTCGGCCCTCAAATAAAAAGAAAAACTCTCTGGCCTCGGATGAACATCAGTCGTTTAATTTTCTAATTAAGACCAAAGCTGCTAAAGACCATGACAATCTTGGTCCCTAAAGTGGTCTTTAATTGGATGGATACCTGTATTTAATAATTTTTGCTGTAAAAATTGGTTAATTGATTGATTGGTTGATTGGTGGATTGATAAGTATTTTAAACGTTTATTTTGACAGCCGCGACCTGTGCCCCAAACAAATTCTGGTGTGAACATACACAAACGTGTATTTATTATGGAAGCACATGTTCTGAACACATACGGACAACACCGAGTAAGTTTAACAATGTATTATATAATCATCACCACAAAACTATCTAACAATTTGACGTAATAATAACTTTAATTTGGTGTCGAAACGGTTTTGTTACCCTACTTATTACAAAGACTAATCTCTACCTGATAACGTTGCTGTAACGTTGTGCTGATGCCTTTTCCTGATATAACCTAACCACAACTTATTTAAAGTGCCTTCGCAATTTTTGTTATTGTTATTATCATATAAACGAAGCATATATAGAAAATCATTAGCCTACCATACGTTGTTTTTTTTTCATATTTTCAAATGATTTATTTTCCTTGCATAATGTAATACTTTTGTACATTGGAATCTATTGTTTGAGAATTACTTTTCCCTAATTTTCGTGCCCATTCGTTTACCCGGTATTATGAAAAAACGTAACTTGCTAACATTTCTAATTTCATGTCTTGTAGCAAATAAAGAATGCCAAGGTAAAGAGTTTCTTTGTGAAGATTCGTACAAGTGTATACCTATGGATTTTGTTTGCGACAACTATGTGGACTGTGATGATGAATCAGACGAAAACAATTGCCGTAAGTATTCTCTTTTTTCATTCATTGATTCTTTGTATGAATATTTAGATCTAACAATTGAAATAGTTCCATAAGAAACCGAACATCAACCGTTAGACGTTCAATTCATCCAGTAGCGGCACTACGAAGGAGGGGAAGGTTAAATTTCTCCCATAAATAATTCTTCTCTCCCACTTCCTCCGCAATCATATCAATCGTCATTTCAAGCCCACTGGCCAATCAAACACAATGCATTTAACACATATTTACATTACCTTTCCCCTCACTTACCTCTCCCCTTCCCCAGATTTCAGGCACTGAACTCACCAGTTCACGCATAGGCAACACATTAGATTCATTGGGGCCCCTTCTTTTTTTGTGCTACATTAACGATATGGTCATCAGTGTTGGCAACGGTAGTAAGATTTTATTATATGCAGATGATACCGCCATCCTGTATTCTCACAAAGATAAAAAATATATTGCTTATATCCTCAGTGAAGCTTTACAATCATGTAGTTATTGGTTAACTGATAACAAGCTGTCTCTAAATTTTGAGAAAACTGAATGTATTCTTTTTGGATCTAAGCCTAAACTGAGAAATGCAAACAACTTTAAGATAAAATGTAAGGACCATTTTATTAAGGCAGTTAAATCAGTCACATATTTAGGTATGGAACTGGATCAAGTATTGTCCGGGGAGACCACTGCGAATAAAATAATCAGAAAGGCAAATGCTACACTTAAATTTTTTTTTATCGGCAAAGTAAGTGTCTAAATTTAAAATGCCGTAAATTACTCTGCTCTGCCTTGATACAATGCCACTTTGATTATGCCTCTTCAGCATGGTATTCCGGACTAAGTAAACAAACAAAAAACAAACTTCAAGTTGCCCAAAACAAAATTGTACGATTCATCAAGAACCTACCTCCTAGATCCCATATCGGTAGAGATCAACTGTCCAGCATTGGGTATCTCAATATTGAAAACCGAGTAAAGTTTCTTCGTCTCGCCCATCTACACAAAATAGCCAATGGATACAATGCCCCTTACCTATCAGAACATTTTATGAGAGTAGATCAATTCCATCAGCATCGAACTAGAGGCTGTATGCACAAATTTGTTGTTCCGTCTGTTAAAGGTATTGCATCATCTTCCTTTTTCTTTAATGGTATCAAAGTTTTGAACAGTCTTCCGATATCAATACAGAGCATAAATAATTAAAAAAAACTTTAAAAGTGCAATAAAAACTAATTTGGGAAATCAGATGCGCGGGTAATGTTGCAATTTTTGGGGTGAAACTTTTCTTTAATTCAATGATTTCAACACAACATTTTAAATTCAAATTATCTTTCTTAATATAATATAATGTTTAATAAAAATAATAATAATTCAAAAGTGCAATAATAATTATAATTTTTATTGTTAACTGTTTGATGTTTCTTGCGTGGTAAAAATGTTTACAATTTTTTAAGGGCCCCAATGGAAATAAGTTTTATATTTTGTAAAACTTTCTTGGGTTACCCTAGGAATTAATGTCTTATCTTGTTCTTTATCGTTTATCTGTTCTTTGTATTTGTTTTATTTTCAAGTAATCTTGATATTAATTCCTGAATATAATGAAATGAAATGAAAATTCATCGTACCACTGTTATAAAAGAACCCAATTAGACCAAGAGGGAAAAGTTGATACCGTAATAATTCAAGTGATGATCTGGTAAACGTAGGGGTTAATATAATATAATATAAGGGTCAATATTTCATATTGTTGCTAGGTCACGTCTGTACAAGTATCCCAGTGCACCTCATCTGTTTACCCCTGTTTGCGACCCATGGTGGCAGAAGTTCGCCCTATGCTACTCCCATTGGGTACCATATAGTGTACGGTCTCAATAGTTCAGACAGTACTAGGTTAATTGACCATTGTGTTGTCTTGTTTACTAATACCCCATTCAGACTAGCATCGCATTGCGATCGGTTGTAGCAATTGCGACACCCAATCGCACCCAATCGCACAGTAAAATCGTGTGTGAAAGCTCACCAATAGCAGTCGATATGTAATCGATATCGCAATTGTTACCCGTTGCGATTGGGTGCTACAATCTTTATTACTCCCGATTACCACGGAATTTGATCGCAACGAATCACAACGTATTCCACAGGCACTGTTTGGCTGAGGTCAGGCAACATAGACCTAGACACTGGAGGCCTAGGCCCAAGAATGTAAAGTCTGTTTGTGTTGGTCTGAATGCGTTTGTTGATTGCGATCGGGAGTAATCAGTTTTGGATTACACCGATTACATCGCAACCGATCCCAAGAGAGTGTAGTCTGAATAGGGTATTAGGGAGTGGCATTTAGAAATTGAGGACGCAAAAAGCAATTGAGACGTCAAAAAGTGAATCATTACACATTTAAAGGTGTATTTGTAGTATTACAGATTTTGAGCTTCAATAGATGGTTGCATGTCTTGAGACATGTTGATAATAATACCTGTTTTTTTGTGGATAATATAATCCACTTGTTCTTAATAGGCGGCCTGTGGGCCAAATTGGCCCGCAAGGCAATTTAATTTGGCCTGTGAAGAAAAACAAAATAATAATAACGCCTATATAAAACACATTGGAAGTTCGATTAGTACATTTTCAATAAAGTAAAGACAAAAATGCAACTTCTTGCTAATGTGCATGGAGATTATATTTGGCCCATGAGATTAACTCTAAAAATAATCTCGCCCTTCAGACCTATTAATTAAGAAGAAGTGGTTGGCGCATCGATTGTGGCTTGAGGTAATGGGTTCGAGACTTTCGCTGTGCAAGTCGCTTGTGTCCTTTAGCAATCTACATTTGTCTGTCTCTCTCAGCAGTATAAGTGCGTACATGGTATGGATATTGTGGCATTGAATGTTGTAGTTTCGTGCGCTCCCGGTATCGAACGACTAGGAATACTTCCGAGGGAGCAGAGAAGGTTGTATTTTGTGCTGGTTTGCCATTGTACGTTATCCGTGTGACCGCGCCTTTGATCATTCAATTTGGAATTGGCGCCTTATAAATTTTTGAGTATTAAGAACCAGTACGGTATAATACCTCGCAACACATATGCCTATAGGCTATATAGGCATTATTCTGTGAAAAATTTGTTTTCTTTTCTGTGCTATGAGCTACAGGGTGAAATAGATCCTGAGCTAAAAATTGTAATTGTCCTAAAATTGCAAGTCATATGTATTAACATTACATCGATTTTGTTACTGCGAGTTGGTGTTAAAAAGGTTATTGTGAAATTCTGTCCCTGTGTCTTATTCGGTTCACTGTGTTTCTCCAATAGCCTTGTACTTATCTTTACATTGCTATTGAAAAATCGGTGTACCAAACAACACGGTCATAACAATACAATATACAAAGTAGCGTACTGGGAACATGCGGAAATAGTTAGCAAACAATAGGTAATATGACTTGTACTAAAAAAAAAAAACCAATAATAATAATAATAATAATAATAATAATAATAATAATAATAATAATAATAATAATAATAATAATAAAATGTGTCTAAACTAGCCATAGACTCCTTGAGGGTATGTCTATTAAACGAAGACCGAAGACCCAAAAACAACGACCCCTATTTTTTCTCTTTTATTTTGATGGTTTGTGAAATTTTCAAGGGTCTTCGTGTCATAGGGTGTCTACAAAACGAAGACCGAAGACCCGAAAAACGAAGACCTCCAATTATTTCCCAATAGGCCTATCTTATTGAAAGTATTTCAAAATCATCATAAAACAGTTGCCAAGTACGGACCTATTTCATTATTTCATCACGATTGAGAAAAGAAAATGTGGGTCTTCGTTTTTCTGGTCTTTGGTCTTCGTTTTGTTGTTGACACCCATATAGGATGTCTATAAAACGAAGATTCTTAATTATCTCATCCATCCTATGTTGGTGTCACTGCACTACCAAATGACCGATGCTGCACATATGCGTCACTATACAACATTCCTAATGTTTATGTTAACATGAAACAAGTTTATGAATGAAATGTTTTTGTAGCTGGGGCGGATGCAGAGGGGGTGCAGAGGGTGCGGTCGCACCCCCTTAAATTGTATTAAGAAAAATAATTGTCGTATTGTATTGTTGTAAGGTATGAGAGTGCAATTTCTGGGCATCTAGAAGCAGGCGCGGATCCAGACCTCTTCGCACCGTTCGCCATATAAAGTGATAGCAGTGACTGGTGGTCTAGCGAATTCCAACTCTTTCTGTCAGAAATACCACCAATCTAAACCAAAGACAAAAATATATAGACAACATAAATTATTATGAGAGTTACGCATTATATCCGACCGTCCAACCACTAAACATTGAAATGTTGGCAATCAACTAATCATAGAAGACATTTATGCATATTTAATTACTTTACCAGCTGGTGGCGTACAATAAAAATGCATTATTATTTTTCCTGAAGTTACAACTTAAAAGTTGTGATCAAAAGATTAATTTTAGAACCGCACTATTAACAAGATTAATATGTTAATCCTTCCACGTCGTAAATTGGATTTAACATGTGTATAATGATTTTGATAAACAATCATAATTCTCTGTACTATCTATTAAACATTTAAAGAATAAACTTCCTTATGTTGTGGTCATATTAGATTGTAATATTTTTAAAGAAGACCATTCAACAAACAACATAAAACAAAATTTCCACGTCGATGCATGCATAAAACGTATAATTTCCTGAAATTTGGATATAGAGCGGACCTCCTCATGATTTAGGCCTAAGGAAATATAAATTTATATGGGTCTGAACTTTGTAGGTATTCTTCCTTATGTTGTGGTCATATTAGTATATATCATTAAAGACCATTCAAAAAACAACATGAAACATATAGGCCTATCAAACTTTTAGGTTAAACTTTCCGCTTCCGAGCATGCATAGGCCTATAACGTATTTTTTAGATATATGATATTTTCATGACAGTCGAGAATGTACTGACTATATAAATTGTAGATAGTTACTGTTGTCCGA